AATTAGGTCCATTTTAAATGTCATTTTTAACAGAATCTTGCAATAGCATAAATCAATAAAAAATTTTCCATTGTTTTTTTTTTTTGCGTCAAAAGAAAATATTTGAAAGAAATTTTCTATAAATGTTAACATCTTTAATATCACCATTATAATAACCGTGAAACTTGCAGTTATAATTTTGTAAAACTTTGGTCCATATTATTAAGGGATTCGCAGAAAATTTTTGGACAAAATGTCGCTAAATGTACAAACGCAAAAATGTTAACATTTCAACTGTTTGTCGTCCTTTCAAGAATAATTGCACAAAACAAAACAAGACACGGCAATGGCTTTCTTAAAATGTTTTTTTTTTTTCAATTTTGAGAATTAAGTAAAGAAATTTGTTTCAATTTGCTAGCAACAAAAAATGTTTTAAAATATTTTTTTTTGTTCCAAAAAAACTTAAATTTATTCTGACATTTTATTTCCTATTTTCTTTTATAAATGTGTTATTGTGATTGTTTTGTATTTTGTATGGCAATACTGTGGGAGAAAAAAGAGGAAATGGCCTCTTAAGGACTAATCGGACTGAACTGGAACGGAACTGAACTATAACTGAACTAAAACTGAACTAGAACTGAACTAGAACTGAACTAGAACTGAACTAGAACTGAACTAGAACTGAACTAGAACTGAACTAGAACTGAACTAGAACTGAACTAGAACTGAACTAGAACTGAACTAGAACTGAACTAGAACTGAACTAGAACTGAACTAGAACTGAACTAGAACTGAACTAGAACTGAACTAGATCTGAACTAGATCTGAACAAGAACTGAACTAGAACTGAACCAGAACTGAACTAGAACTGAACTAGAACTGAACTAGAACTGGACTAGAACTGAACTAGAACTGAACTAGAACTGAACTAGAACTGAACTAGAACTGAACTAGAACTGAACTAGAACTGAACTAGAACTGAACTAGAACTGAACTAGAACTGAAATAGAACTAAACTAGCACTTGAACTACAACAGAATTAGCTATTTTAGTATGTGCTGGTTCAAAGTAGTCATTACACTCTCTAGCTTGCTTGAAAACTGTGGAGTGACGACTATCTCTGCTCTCGCTTATAATTGGGTCACAATTCGTTACAAATAATTTTACTTTAATTATTTAGCTCCTCTTTAAAATAGTCAACTACAACTCTAGGCTTTCCTTCCCATTATAGTAACCACTAGTTAACGGCACTTTATAAACGTAAGTATTATTGTAATAATAACAATAACAACTAACGAACAGCAAATAACAAATACAAAAATAATAAAAAACTATACAAAACCAAAAAAACGAGAAAAGCGATAACAAATCAAAACAAATGATAAGAAAATCACATTTTCAACAATATTTTTGCAAAATTATAAAAAGGAACAAACAAAACCATTTTTATTTATTTAATAACAATAATAATAAAAAAGAACTTGTAGTACGACTTACTTGTTTATTTATGGATTTCAAAGAGCGTTTTATTATTATATTTTCTTAATGCGCTTTTCAAAATTGAATAATTTTTTTCTTTTTAAAAAAATACATTATTTTTGCTTAAAATTCCAAAGTTGAATGCTTGATCTTTTGATTTCTCTTTGTTAAATTGTCTTGGTTAAATAGCAGACGTTAAAAAATTTATATGCAAATTTTATGACAGTTTTTTTTTCTCTGCTGCAGGTGGGGGTGCTCCACAATAAGATGAACAATATAAAAAATATATAATACGTGGAAAGCAAAATCTCTATATCTTCATGTTGTATAGTAAAATAATTTAATTTTTTTGGTTATTTATTAGAAAAGTAGAAAATGGCTTTCCGTTTTTTAAACTTTTTTTTACACAATAATCGATTTTTTGCTTATAATTTGTTTTAATTACCACCATAAAATCATTATGGAATCATTTGTTTTTTTCTTTGTTTTTATTTGGCTATTCGATTTTCAATTTATTGCAATGCTTTGCATTGCTTGATTATTAGTTTTTATTTTAATTAAATTGTTGTAATTTCTCAATGTTTTAAAATTTAATTAACACAAAGTTTACGAAATATTTTTGTTAAAAATGGAAATTTATTTTTTTTATTTTAACATCAAAAGTAAAATGTCAAAATTTATGTGTCTAGACAGCAGGGTTGTATTTTTGGGTAGTAGTTTGTTGTGTATGAGAAAAAAGTACTAACTGTAAGCGTATTAGGGCAAAATTTAAAAAGGCCACAATAAAATTAACAATAAATGAATAAAATTGTGGACATTTAAGTGAAATTTTGATGGGGGCTTTTCATAGGGGCTAGGGTCATATGTGAACCTATTATCATCAAGTCTTTTATACAACTTGGTTATTGCATCTTTTTGTCGAGATATGAGTATATTAAACATAATTATGAACTTAAAAGCACTATTCGGGGGTTCAGTTGTATGGGGGCTAGGTGAAATAATGGACAGATGTTAACCATTTTTAATAGGCTTCGTCTACGATACCATAAAAGATCATGTGCCAAATTTCATTGAATTATCTCCAAAATTGCGACCTGTAGTTTGATTACAAGTTTTAAAAGCCCTATTCGAGGGGTTCAATTGTATGGGGGCTAGGTGAAATAATCGACCGATGTAAACCATTTTCAACAGGCTTCGTCTACGGTACCATAAAAGATCATGTGCCAAATTTCATTGAATTATCTTCAAAATTGCGACCTGTAGTTTGATTACAAGGATTACAAGCCCTATTGCGGGGGTTCAGTTGTATGGGGGCTAGGTGAAATAATGGACCGATCTTAACCATTTTCAATAGGCTACGTCCCTGTGACAATAGAAGGTCATGTACCAAATTTCATTGAATTATCTTCAAAATTGCGACCTGTAGTTTGATTACAAGGTTTACATGGACGGACAGACAGACGGACATAGCTAAATCTACTCAGAAAATGATTCTAAGCCGATTGGTATAAGGTGGGTATAGGACCAATATTATTGTGCGTTACAAACATCAGCACAAACCCCTACCACACTAAAGTGGTGTATGGTATAATAAAATTTAATAATTAATAAAAATATTAAGAAATTCAAATAATAATTTTATATTTTAACAAAATTCCCACTTAATATTTAATTTAAATTTATTTACAAATTTTTGAGTTTTATTAAATTTTCAAATTGTTTTCCAAATCCGAAATCTTTTTCAGAAATAATAAAAAAATTAAAACTTTAAAAATTATAAAATTTTGATTGAGTTTCGTTACATTTACCTTTTAACGAAATGTGAAATTTTAATTAAAAATTTTTACTAAATTTGAAAATTAAGTATATCTTGAAAATTATTAAATTTGTGTATTTTAACAAAATTTTTTAAAAAAATTTGAAATTTGGAATAAAATATGAAAATTTTGTTTAATTTAAAATTATCTCAAATTTGAAAATTTTTTAAAGATTTGGTTTAATTTTGAAATCTTTTAAAAAAATTGGTTAAATTTGAAAAATATATTGACTTAAATTTGTTAAACTTAAAAATACAGAAATTAATTTTGCTAAATTTGTAAATTGTATTAAATTTGAAAATATCTAAATTTATTTTGTTAAATCTATAAATTTTTTTAAATTTGAAAATTTTTTTAAATTTGGAATTTTTTTAAATTCTGTATTTTGTTTGTACATATTTTGTAGATTTTATTAATATTAAAAATTTTGTTAAGTTTCATCATTTTAAAAATTGATATATAAAAATCCTGAAATTATTTTGTTAAATTTTAAAATTTCAGTATTATTCGAAACCTAAGCAACTTCTTTTGGCAATACATACTACTAGCTATATTTTCAATTTTAATTGATTTATTCAAAATAACCTAATTGATGTGTATAATATTATGTCTGTATATTACAATAACAACAATAAAAGTTTAATTCCATTTCGATCAGAGTAAGAAAAAAAAATAAAAACCTAATTAACTACATAAATGCTTGTTCGAACTTTAAGCAACTTTTTGTTCTTCGTATGAAAAATCTTTGTTCCATAAAATTCCCTTATGGAATGGATTAGTCACTAGTGTAGTTGGTAATGATTACCATTCGGATTTTAAGCCATTCACCAACTACTATAGTTTTTATAACGCCTAACAGCTTTTCTAATATGATTTGAGTCCCTAAGTTGCTTAGGTTTCGAACAATACTCTACATGCATATTATAATATTGATTATTTATTCCGAATCTGAGCTCAAAATTTATTCAACACATGTGGTTTTTACTCAAACAAAATTTAATTTCTGGTTTTGAAATGTCCACTATTAAAATTGATTCTATTAAGGTGGAAGTACACAACACGCTTTACGCTTTTCAAAATTTTCGCGCTTTATAAGCGGCAAGTTACACACTACGTGCCATTTTGATCTTTCTTTTAATGTTTTTTAAGACTATTACTGTTTTAAATATCAAAATTTTAAGTTTTTTTATATTTTTTTAATATTTTTCTTCCATTGTTGGAGAAATTTATTTCATTTTAGATTATTCTTATTCTACGACGCGTCAAAAATTCAAAGTTGCTGAACTTTTCGCGGCAGACGCGTTAAAAACTACAATGTGTAACTTGTTAAATGAAAATACACTATTTCTACTTTTTTTGACAGAAGCCTATAACGCGTTGCCGCGTACAACGCATGTTGTGTACTTTCACCTTTAATATCTTGTTTATTATGGTTTCTAATTTGCTGGCCCCCCAATTCCAATAATTTTGCACACCTTTCAATGACTACACATTTCTAATACAAAAATTTCCAATTAGATGTTCAATGGGGAAATACAACTACTACCTTTAAACACAACCCTGTTACTTTTTGAACAATACAACAAAAGAAAAAACATGATAATTAGCAAACGAAAAAGAAATATACAAAAACGAAACACGTAATAAAAGCAAAATGGAAAACAATGAAATATTTTACTACGAAATTGTACAACTACGTCTAGAAATACAAGAAAAATTGGAAAAACGAACAAATGCAGTCGGAATGTCTATTAAGGCGCACGACGTGTAATTAATAAATTTTTGCGGTGCGCATGAAATTCAATAGAAATAAAGAAAAAATTAAATAAATATTTTACAGAGAAAAATTAATAAATTCATAAAACCCATAGAAAAAGTGTTGAAAGTTTAAATTTATAAAATAAATAGAATAAAAAAGAAAAATGTGAAGTAAAAGTGAAAAGTAATTGTTAAATGTGTGAAAAAAAATTGTCGCCAGACAATTGGTGAGAAATTATAAAATAAAAATTTTATACGAGGAAGAAAAAAAAAAGGAAATCACAAGAATTGTAAGGAGAAGATAACAAGCAAAAATCATGTATCTGATATTGAAATTAAAAAGAAAAAATGTTTTTAACGAATATAAAGAAATTAATAAACAAATAATATAAGTTGGAAATTAAACGAGAGTTTAACTTGGAAATTTAATTTAAAAAAGTGCAGACATTGAAGTGCAAGTGAGTGCTCCCTCCGTAGCCAGTCACAGCCACCAGCAACGACAAACGACTCTAGTGTTTAGGGCGTGTTAATAAAAAGTGTTGGGGAAATTATTACAGAAACAAGTTAACTAAACAAATTTTAACACATTTAAATAAAATTAAAAACAAATTTAAACAATTTTAATGTTTTCTATGTCCAATATAAAACAACAATAATAAGAAAAAAAAGTTGTTGAAAAAAGAAAAAATCAATTTGTAGCTTTTTTTCTTATATTTTAATGATTGCAACTTCCTTTTTGTAGTTACATTCTTTGGATACGGTGTCTACTACAAGTGCGAATTATAACAACATAAGCAAATTGAGAAAAATTTAAAACGAAGTCTTTTTTTAAAGAAAAGATAAATAATTAAAAAAAAATAAAGTGTTAAACATTTGTTTGTGTAAAAAAAAGAAAATATGTTTTGCCAAAAATAAATTATAGTAAAAAGAAAACAAATTTATATAAAAAGCGAAGAAATCCAGCTTTAACACCCACCCACCACCTTTTTTCGGTTAATTTCCTTGTTTCTTTCTGCTATTTGACAACATTGCTTTCTGCTGCTTATTAAAACCGTTATTTCGCCCTACAGTTGTCAATGTTGTAAATGTGTGTGTGTTTTTAGTTGATCCTTCGTGTAATCCTTACAAAAAAACAACAATAGCTACTTTTCTCTCTTTAACAACTCTACTATTTATTAAAGGAAAGTGAAAAAAAGAAAAATACATATTTTCCTTAAATTTAAACTCTCTTAGACGGCCTTTTGACCCCTACACTTTGATAAACAAAACACAACCACAATGGGTGCTCAACAAGGCAAAGAACGTGGTTCACATTCTAGCGGCAGCCATGGTGGCACTGCCAGTTGTATTGGTGTTTCCAGTAGCAGCCCGGTGGGTTCTCATGGTCTACCGGTTAATGCTTTAGGTGCTGGTTCTACGTTACGTGGCTCCCGCATAAAATCCTCCTTACCACCAGCTGCTGTTAGTGGTGGTGGTGTTGGCGGCTCTAGTGGTTTACATCGTTCGGGTGGTGTCTCATCAGCATCGTGTCATAATCCCAAGGATAATCGCTGCAATCCAATTGGTTTGAATATTTTTACTGAACATAATGGTAAGTTGAATCTTTTATTGCTTATTAATAGTGATTCTTATTTGAAATTTGCGAATTCTTGTGAAATTATCTATCGATATAGGTAGTAACTAATCCAATTGGAAATTAATTTACATTTTTTTTTTTACTTTTATCTATATACTTATTACAAATTCTGTAAAAAAGTAAATTTTTTATTAAAGGTTAAAATTTTTATTAAATTAAAAATATTCAGCAAAATAAATTCAAATTATTTCCCCAAAGTCTAATCTTATGATTGGATCTAATACTATATAGTACTAACTTCGACCAAAAAGAATACTTTTTTAGATTTAGAAATACTAACTATAGTCCTAGTAAAGTCTATAGACTAGACTCTAGACAATAGACTAGACTTAGACTAGACTTTAGACTACTAGACTAGATTATAGACTAGACTATAGACTAGACTATAGACTAGACTATAGACTAGACTATAGACTAGACTATAGACTAGACTATAGACTAGACTATAGACTAGACTATAGACTAGACTAGACTATAGACTAGACTATAGACTAGACTATAGACTAGACTATAGACTAGACTATAGACTAGACTATAGACTAGACTATAGACTAGACTATAGACTAGACTATAGACTAGACTATAGACTAGACTATAGACTAGACTATAGACTAGACTATAGACTAGACTATAGACTAGACTATAGACTAGACTATAGACTAGACTATAGACTAGACTATAGACTAGACTATAGACTAGACTATAGACTAGACTACAGACTAGACTATAGACTAGACTATAGACTAGACTATAGACTAGACTATAGACTAGACTATAGACTAGACTATAGACTAGACTATAGACTAGACTATAGACTAGACTATAGACTAGACTATAGACTAGACTATAGACTAGACTATAGATTAGACTATAGACTAGACTATAGACTAGACTATAGACTTGACTATGTACTAGACCAGACTAGACTAGAATATAGACTAGCCTAGACTAGACTAGAATATAGACTTGACTATATTCTAGACTATAGACTAGACTATAGACTAAACTATAGGCTAGACTATAGACTAGACTATAGACTAGACTATTGACTAGACTATAGACTAGACTATAGACTATAGACTAGAATATAGACTAGACTATAGACTAGACTATAGTCTAGACTATTGACTATACTATAGACTAGACTATAGACTAGACTATAGACTAGACTATAGACTAGACTATAGACTAGACTATAGACTAGACTATAGACTAGACTATAGACTAGAATATAGACTAGACTATAGACTAGACTATAGACTAGACTATAGACTAGACTATAGACTAGACTATAGACTAGACTATAGACTAGACTAGACTATAGATTAGACTATAGACTAGACTATAGACTAGACTGTAGACTAGACTATAGGCTAGACTATGGACTAGACTATAGACTAGACTAGACTATAGACTAGACTACAGACTAGACTATAGACTAGACTATAGAATAGACTATAGAATAGACTATAGAATAGACTATAGACTAGACTATAGACTAGACTATGGACTAGACTATAGACTAGACTATAGACTAGACTATGGACTAGACTATAGACTAGACTATAGAATAGACTATAGACTAGACTATAGACTAGACTATGGACTAGACTATAGACTAGACCATAGACTAGACTATAGACTAGACTATAGACTAGACTATAGACTAGACTATAGACTAGACTATAGACTAGACTATAGACTAGACTATAGACTAGACTATAGATTAGACTATAGACTAGACTATAGACTTGACTATGTACTAGACTTGACTAGACTAGACTAGACTAGACTAGACTAGACTAGACTAGACTAGACTAGACCAGACTAGACTAGAATATAGACTAGCCTAGACTAGACTAGAATATAGACTTGACTATATTCTAGACTATAGACTAGACTATAGACTAAACTATAGGCTAGACTATAGACTAGACTATAGACTAGACTATTGACTAGAGTATAGACTAGACTATAGACTATAGACTAGAATATAGACTAGACTGTAGACTAGACTATAGTCTAGACTATTGACTATACTATAGACTAGACTATATACTAGACTATAGACTAGACTATAGACTAGACTATAGACTAGACTATAGACTAGACTATAGACTAGAATATAGACTAGACTATAGACTACACTATAGACTTGACTAGACTATAGATTAGACTATAGACTAGACTATAGACTAGACTGTAGACTAGACTATAGGCTAGACTATGGACTAGACTATAGACTAGACTAGACTATAGACTAGACTACAGACTAGACTATAGACTAGACTATAGAATAGACTATAGAATAGACTATAGAATAGACTATAGACTAGACTATAGACTAGACTATGGACTAGACTATAGACTAGACTATAGACTAGACTATGGACTAGACTATAGACTAGACTATAGAATAGACTATAGACTAGACTATAGACTAGACTATGGACTAGACTATAGACTAGACCATAGACTAGACTATAGACTAGACTATAGACTAGACTAGACTAGACTATAGACTAGACTATAGACTAGACTATAGACTAGACTATAGACTAGACTATAGACTAGACTATAGACTAGACTATAGACTAGACTATAGACTAGACTATAGACTAGACTATAGACTAGACTATAGACTAGACTATAGACTAGACTATAGACTAGACTATAGACTAGACTATAGACTAGACTATAGACTAGACTATAGACTAGACTATAGACTAGACTATAGACTAGACTATAGACTAGACTATAGACTAGACTATAGACTAGACTATAGACTAGACTATAGACTAGACTATAGACTAGACTAGACTACTAGACTAGACCTATAGACTAGACTATAGACTAGACTATAGACTAGACTATAGACTAGACTATAGACTAGACTATAGACTAGACTATAGACTAGACTATAGACTAGACTATAGACTAGACTATAGACTAGACTATAGACTAGACTATAGACTAGACTATAGACTAGACTATAGACTAGACTAACTAGACTAGACTAGACTATAGACTAGACTATAGACTAGACTATAGACTAGACTATAGACTAGACTATAGACTAGACTATAGACTAGACTATAGACTAGACTATAGACTAGACTATAGACTAGACTATAGACTAGACTATAGACTAGACTATAGACTAGACTATACTAGACTATAGACTAGACTATAGACTAGACTATAGACTAGACTATAGACTAGACTATAGACTAGACTATAGACTAGCCTATAGACTAGACTATAGACTAGACTATAGACTAGACTATAGACTAGACTATAGACTAGACTATAGACTAGACTATAGACTAGACTATAGACTAGACTATAGACTAGACTATAGACTAGACTATAGACTAGACTATAGACTAGACTATAGACTAGACTATAGACTAGACTATAGATTAGACTATAGACTAGACTATAGACTAGACTATAGACTAGACTATAGACTAGACTATAGACTAGACTATAGACTAGACTATAGACTAGACTATAGACTAGACTATTGACTAGACTATAGACTAGACTATAGACTAGACTATAGACTAGACTATAGACTAGACTATAGACTAGACTATAGACTAGACTATAGACTAGACTATAGACTAGACTATAGACTAGACTATAGACTAGACTATAGACTAGACTATAGACTAGACTATAGACTAGACTATAGACTAGACTATAGACTACACTACAGACTAAACTATAGACTAGACTATAGACTACACTATAACTAGACTATAGACTAGACTATAGACTACACTATAGACTAGACTATAGTCTAGATTTCAGATTTTTCTTTAGACGAATTGGTGTTTAACAGTTTGTTCTATGTAAAAATCTGTGTATAACAGTTTTGCTAAAGGAAAGTTTGTATGTAACAGTTTTTGTAGATAAATTAATTTATAATAGTTTTTTTATAGTCAAATTTGTGTATAACAGTTTTTCTAAAGAAAAATTTGTGTATACTTTCCATAGAACATTTCTGTCTAAAGACTTTTGTTATACAGGACAATGTACATCAGATCTTTTCTAGATATATAGACTAGACTATACTAAAGACTAGACTATAGTTCAGATTATAGACTAGACTATAGACTACACTATAGACTAGACTATAGTCTAGATTTCAGATTTTTCTTTAGACGAATTGGTGTTTAACAGTTTTTTCTATGTAAAAATCTGTGTATAACAGTTTTGCTAAAGGAAAGTTTGTATGTAACAGTTTTTGTAGATAAATTAATTTATAATAGTTTTTTTATAGTCAAATTTGTGTATAACAGTTTTTCTAAAGAAAAATTTGTGTATAAAAGAATTTCCATAGAACATTTCTGTCTAAAGACTTTTGTTATACAGGACAATGTACAGCAGATCTTTTCTAGATATATAGACTAGACTATACTATAGACTAGACTATAGTTCAGATTATAGACTATAGACTAGACTATAGACTAGACTATAGACTAGACTATAGACTAGACTATAGACTAGACTAGACTATAGACTAGACTATAGACTAGACTATGGACTAGATTATAGACTAGACTATAGACTAGACTATAGACTAGACTATAGTCTAGATTTTAGATTTTTCTTTAGACGAATTGGTGTATAACAGTTTGTTCTATGTAAAATCTGTGTATAACAGTTTTGCTAAAGGAACGTTTTTTTAGATAAATTAATGTATAATAGTTATTTTATAGTCAAATTTGTGTATAACAGTTTTTCTAAAGAAAAATTTTGTGTATAAAAGACTTTCTTCCATAGAACATTTCTGTCTAAAGACTTTTCTTATACAGGACAATGTACAGCAGATCTTTTCTATTGACATTTTTCTATATAACAGTTTATTTCTGTGTAACGGTTTTACTTAAGCAAATAAGTCTAACAGTTTTTCTGTAGAAAATTTTGTGTTTAAAGTTTTTTATATT